GCAGGGTGGGGGGGGCTATCATGGAGTGAGGGAGGCAGAATGGGCTGCAGAGGGCAGCAGACCTGGTCCCCACTGGAGTGCGCCTCAGCCTGAACCCTCCCCCCCCCACACACACACACAGCTCTGGAGTGTGGCTTGCTGGGGCATTGATCCTGCCTTGGACCTCTGTGTCAGTCTGTCGCTGGCTGCAGGTGGCTCCCAGAAGTGGGGGCACGTAACCACTTGGGCAGGTCACCCCCTTTGGGGGAGGGTGATTCTCCAGAGCAAAAAGCAAGTGACACACAGCAGCTGGGGTTGGGCACGGCATCCCGGCCAAGGGGATCTGGGTCGGCTGGGCATTCAGACCCCTTCCTAGCTGAGGTGGGATGTGACCGTAGGATTTTAAGCAGGGCAATAGCATGACCTGAATTACTTTTTAAAATATATTTTTTAATTGATTTCAGAGAGGAAGAGAGAGAGAAACATCGATGAGAGGGGATCATTGATTGGCTGCCTCCTGCACGACCCACGCTGGGGATCGAGTCCACAGCCTGGGCCTGTACCCCGTCTGGGAATCAAACCGTCACCACTTGGTTCATAGGTCGATGCTCAACCACTGAATCAGCTGGGCCTGAATTACTTTTTGAAAAGATCCCTCTGCCCTAGTTGGTTTGGCTCAGTGGATAGAGCGTCGGCCTGCAGACTGAAGGGTCCTGGGTTCGATTCCGGTCAAGGGCCAGTACCCTGGTTGCAGGCTCCTCCCAGGCCTGGACCCTGGTCGGGGCTCATGTGAGAAGGCAACCAATCGATGTGTTTCTCTCACATCCATGTTTCTCTCTTGTCTTTCCCTCTCTCTTCCACTCTCCCTAAAAATCAATGGAAAAATATCCTCGGGTGAGGATTAATAACAACAACAACAAAAAGATCCCTCTGACCCTGTGTGGAAAGCAGACCAGAGGCGGTGGGGGGACAAGGGAAGAGGCTACTGCTGTCATCAGGCTGCTGGTGACTTGGGCCTGGGCGGCAGCAGCAGGAATGGAGAAAAGGACCCAGATGCGTATGGGATGTCTGGGAAACAGAGCGAACAGGGTTGACTAAGAATCGCTCTTTTCCTTTCTTTCTCCCCTTTGCCCCGACTCAGAAACCTTTCTGTCCACAAGAATTCCCTTCCACCTCCTGCAGGCCCCGCCCCCTGCCTGCAGGTCCCGCCCCTGCCTACAGGCCCCGCCCCCTGCCTGCAAAGGCCAGGGAGCCGGGATGGGGGCTGGCCAGGTACGGAGCCTGAATCCTCCTGCCCTGACTCTTCTCTCTCTGCTATCTTTTCTCTCTCCTCCCCGACGGCCACCCCAAAGTCGAGCTTCGATCCCCACCACCGCTCGCAGCCGAGCTATGAACGGCCTTCCTACCTGCCTCCAGGACCTGGGCTTATGCTCCGGCAGAAATCTATTGGTATGTCACCGTCACCGTCACCGGAAGCGTGGGTGTCATGGATGCAGGCGGGGGGAGGGGAGGCTGCAAGGGTGACCTTTCACGGGAGAAACAAGGGGCCTGAAAGTGTTCTTTTCCGCTTTCACACGTGACCACAGGTCCGTGGAGTTGGGCAAAGCGCTCCGGCTTTGCCGCTGGGCAGACCTGGGTTTGGATCCTGGCTCTTGTCCATCCCAGCTGTGTGACCTGGGGCAGGTGGCTTCACTTCTCTGGGCCTAGGGCTCTGCAGTTAGAAAATGAGGAGATGACTGCCCCCGCCACAGACCCTGGTTAACTTCTCTCTCATACTTGACTCCAGTCATTCATTCATTCATTCATTCATTCATTCAACATGTGCTTATTGAGCCCTACCACATGCCAGGTTAGACTGGGGGAGGAGGGGAGAGATGTCAGTGAAGAAAACAGGCTAAAGGGCCCTGCCCTTGTGGAGCTTATATGATAGAAAGACAGACAACCTACTATAAGGATAAGAAACAAGAAAATGATACCGTATGTTAAAGGTGCTAAGTGCTATGGAAAAACAGAAAACGTAGAGTATGATAAGAGAGATCACAAGTGCTGGTGGGGGCAGGTTTGGGCTGAAACGTGGAGATGAAGCAGGGAGCCATGGAGGAATCCAGAGGGGAGGCCTTCCAGGCAGCGGACACAGCCAGTGCAAAGGCCCTGGGGTAGGACCGAGCTGCCGTTTGCCGAGATGGGGGCGACCAGGGGCAGGAGGAGGTCAGGAGCTCAGTTAGGGGCCTGCTGAGTTCGAGATGCCAGTGAGCCCCGAAGCGGATGCAGCATTCAGGTCTAGGAGCAGGGAGCTCGGGGGAGAGCATTGGGCCCGAGACCGAGGTGGGAGTCTCCGGCAGAGAAGTAATGAATGAAGCGGGGACACTGGTCAAGGGAGAGAGAGTAGCCAGAGGCTTGGAGGAGAGGATCAAAGACAGCCCTGGCCGTGGATAAGTCGGCCAAAGACTTCGATCCTCCACTCTTCGCTGAGTCGGCTGGCTAATTGGAGCCAGCTTTTCCTGAACGTCCATTGTCCACAGTCTACCAGCTTGTGCCTCTCATCTGAGATCTGCCTCCATCTCATCATTTACCTAACGCCACCCCAAATCTACACAGCATCGCATCCCTACCCAAAACCTCCTTTATTTATTTATTTATTTATTCATTCATTCATTCATTCATGTATCTCATGTTTGTCATATCACTTGTCAATTCCTACAATTATCATTTTTGTCCACGTGCTGTTATGTGTGCGCAATTTGAGGTCCTTGATGGCTGAGACACCATTATTTTTTCATCTTTGTATTTTTTTAATTAAATCTTTATTGTTGAAAGTATTAAATATGTCCCCCTTCTCCCCACATTGGCCTCTTCTAGCCACTGTCTCCACTCCAGGCCTTAGCTACCATCTTCTCTTCCTGGAGCCCTTGTCCTAAACTACCTGAACCATCTAATGCATACAAGCTCTTTGGTTGATCTCTTCCCACCCACTCACCCACCCACCCCCGCCTTCCCTCTGAGAGTCCGCATCAGCTCCCTCTTAAACAGTAGCTTCATCATGAGCAGTTCTGTCTGTGAAATCCCAGGTTTGATGTGCCAACTGCATCTCTTTCCTGCCTTTGCATGAAAGGAAATCTATACCTAATGCACATAAACGTGGTATCCCTCCCTGGCTCAAGCCACTTTTGCTCACCCCAAGCCACCGCTACCAGCCTATATCTGTGCGGTTGTGTGAATTAGGAACGGCGCCCCCTCCTGGGCCGGGGTGGAAGTTCAGCTGGGTCTCACCCCAGCCCCCTTGGCTCCTTTCGCTGTTTGCGGTTGGGCCGCGCACAAGCTGTGTCACTGTGTCCCGCTGGTTCGGATGTACCGCGGCTGGGGGAGCTCTGGACTAATCCGTGGGAAGGTCTTACATGCATGGGCGCCATGATCATCATCATCAACAACAACAACAGCATCGTTACTATTATCACTTTCCCGATGATGTGGCTCCGTGGAATGGGGGAACAGGGAGCCCCCACCCGCCCCATTCCTGCCTCCTCTGTGTCTTCCCAGGGGCCGCAGAAGACGACAGGCCTTACCTAGCGCCCCCGAGCATGAAGTTCAGCCGCAGCCTGTCCGTGCCTGGTTCGGAGGACATCCCCCCGCCTCCCACCACGTCCCCACCCGAGCCCCCG